CTTTTAGGGACTAAGACTTGGCTATCACAACATCTGACAATAGAAAGTGATTAGGATGGGAAGTCTCTGTTGCATATCTGAAATAAAACGGAACTATTTTTATGATGAGATATGGTTTAGATATTATCATATAATAACCAGGTCCAAAGATGAGCTCCTCCGAACCCAGATGTTCCATGGGGCCAACCACGCAGTCAGCAGCTGCACATAAACAAGGGGCGAGATTCTTGTGCTGACGTCATTGAACTTTTCCACAGGGAAAAGCCAAAACAGGTGCATGTTATTTATACAAAATGTATAAAGATTGTGGGGAAAAAATGGACCTTGTGCTAAGTGACAGCCAAGCATTTCCTTTTCTTTCTATGACCTGAATTGAAAAAATAATGAAGCTACTGACAGGTGTCTTATTCTCTTTGAAGTATATCAGCAAAAAGAGTCAAATGGGGGCTGCCATGGCTGACCTTCTTCTAAAAGTACTAGTATCCTGACTATTTCTGGCTTTGTTACTTTTTGAGATTAAGAAAATTAAAGTGAATTCAGATGTCCTGTTTTAAATCCAGGTCTGGGCCTCAGAAAATACTGGAGGGATTGGATCAGCATGAAAGCCATGTGTTTAGCTGTGTAGAACAAATGGGGGTGTCAATGCTGATTGCAGAGTCCAATATCGTATTTTAGTTGTAAAGGTCAATAAAATAGAACAGCCAACACGTTTTTGGGGTCCACAATACCCCCTGTAACGTTTAGGGTATTTAAGGATCCTTGGCCAGGCCGTTTTGGAACATAACAACTTTATTCCCTTCCAAACAGTACAACTTAAATTGCTTCTTTTCAGCAAACAAACATAAACAAGGTGTATCTTCAAGCAACATCCAAGATTTGGCTCAGCACCGGTATCATGTCCACCTCAGGGTTGGAGCCTCAACCTGCTCATGGCCAGACACCCAGCAGCTTCACACCTCCCTGTGTGACGACAGTCCTCCCGACCTTTCCAAACACACCTCGTGTGCCACAGACCCTCCTGGCCTCGCCTACACACCGCGTGTGCCATAGACTCTCTCTGCATCTCCAGCCAGACTCCAGCTCAGTGTCCCGTGCGTCACACACACAGTCTCCCACGCGCTGCATGTACTCCTGCACCACTGACTGCCTCTTCCTCTCTGTCCACTGTGTTAATAGGGCTGTTATCAGCCACCTGGACAGCCTGGCCTGGCAATCATCTCGCCCAAGACTCTTAGAAATCTCCTGAGACACAGATCCCAGTTATACTCCAGAAAACCCGGAAAGAACTAGAAACCCAGCTCCCCCGATAGAAAGCAATTGAGCTGCAAGTTTGAAAATGACTTGCTAAACTATTGCTAGACTCGCCAAGCTTCACAAGTTTGTTGCACAATTACAGCAAGTCTGCATTACAAGTCTCCAGATCAACGTGCTTTGCAAAAGTGCTGTACACTTGCAGAGCTCTTGCTAGGACCTGCAGGACTCTTGCTGTAGACTTGCCAAGCAAATTTGCTACATATTCAAAAAGTGTCAACTAGAACTTGTGCTGCAAGTGTTCTGCAAGTCTACAACTTGCCAGGTCATTGCTACATTACTATTGGCTATTTCAATTTGCAATAGCCAATAGTAAACTAGCATTTTACCTGCTGCAGTTCTCCATCAGGTCCATCAGCAGAGGGCGGGTAAAATGCTAGTTTACTATTGGCTATTGCAAATTGAAATAGCCAATAGTAATGCAGCAATGTATTTCAATGGGAAATCTTTTTCTTTTTTTTTTTCTCTATTCTGACATCGCTCGTGTCAGAATAAAGAAAAAGAAAGACACAGCAGCGTATATCTCCTGGGCGGCCGGGAGCGGGAGGCTCCCAGAGCACCCTGGAGAGTTTTTTTTTGTTTTTTTTATGGCAAACTATTGGGCGGAAACTATTGGGCGGAGCTAGCTATCACTGCTAGCTCTGCACAATTGTTTTCTATTTACTTTTTTAAACTTTTTTAACTCTTTTTCTGTTCTGCTCGGTCTCCCTCTGAGGGACCGAGCAGAACAGCCGAGCCGAATGCCGGTCAGCGGCATTCGGCTATTCACTCACTGCTGTTCGGCATCTATGAGAATAGACCGAACAGCAGTGAGTAGCCTGCCGGAGGGTCGGCTCAGCCGTTTCAGATGTTGGATCGGCTGAGTCGAACTCCTTCTGCACTTCGGGTCGGCCAAACATGCTGAGCATGTTCGGCCGACCCGAAGGCATGTGAAGCAAGCCGATGTACGGCTGAAATCAGCCGTACCAGCCTGAAGTGAATAGCCGAACAGTATTCGGCTCACTTCACTTGGGGTCGGTTGTTCACTCGGCTGCCCTCGGCAGCTTAGTGAATAGACCCCTATATGTTTTCTGGACCCTCTCAGCCCCTCTGACCGAGAGTCCTGGGCACCAAACACACGAAACACTACATTGACACTGCACTGTCCTATCACACCCCCTTCATTAGGGCTTATAAATTACTTTGTGACTTAGTTCCTTTTAATGAAATGACACATAAGAATAGCTAGCAGCTGTTAAAAAAAAAACCAAAAAAACATGAACCTAAATAGCTAAACATGCTAAAATTCTAATTATTCATTCACAACTGCTATTTATTCTTATGTATCATTGGACTCCTAGTGGGCCATCAAAAGGTTTAATTTAGCACAGTGCAAACCTCATCCCCATAGCTGTACATAACGTCCCCATAGCTGTACCTGAAGTAGAAGGTGTCATCAACCTTCTTTAAACTAATATGGCTATGTGGCCATAAGGCCAATAATAAAGATAATAGTCCTTGTGTCCATTATGACTGTAAATAAAAGAAAACCCCAAATTGTGGGTTGTCATGAGAACAGTAATAGATGGAAAATCGTCCAATGGGGACACTGATTCTGGTGACTTTGCTGACCACTGGGGATTTCCCTCACGTTCTCTCACTTCCTATTGTGACTATTGGACAGGAAGTGAAGGGAAATCTCCCCAATGGGACACATATGGGAAAAAACAAAGCTGACAGGGATTAATTCCTCCCTTACTCTGTTCAAAACTAAAAAAAAAAGTTTTGTCTTCAGTTGTACTTTATATTTGGTGCAATTATGGGGAATGTATTTAAAATATGGCCTCAATAATAAAATGGATTACTTGTTTAGAAAAAGTCATGAAGCATAAAATCTAATTTTTCTTATGGATCATCACTCACCAGATTGAATCAAAGTATTTTATTGATGATGAGTCCATTGGGGTTAACATTGCATTCTAGATAGTTTCCTAGAGTGGCTATTTTCCACAAATATTTAATTTCCTGAATCAATAACCATTCCAATTTCCTGCATTTCATTAAGAGCCCTTTCAGATGGGTGATCCGATCAAGTCTGCCTGTCAGCTTTACACGTGGATCTGATCGGAAGCCCAATGTTAGTCAATGGGCAGCCGGATCTAAATGAACGTGTGTCCATTTACATCCGGTAACCCCCCAACTCCGGCCAGGTCCGGAAAACTAAATGAAACAGAGTTCGGTTTTGGCAGACCTGATCGTGGCGGATCGGGGGTAATGTGATGTAAATGGAATCATGTCCCTTTACATCCACCTCCCCATAGACCAACATGAGTTTGGAGACAAAAACTGGAGGGACAAGGATGTCACAATGTTGACATCCATTCCTAGCTGCTTTGATCAGCAGGGGATCTGTGCTGATCAGAACAGCTGGTGCCCATGAGTAAGGGAGCCTTTGACTTTTTTAGAGACATCTCATTGTATATCAATGTGAAGAAAGGTGTATATATAGTCTGAGAGTTGTACAAATAGGAGTAAAATAAACTGATGAATACAGAGCATTGATTCACATGGAATTGTAATATACCAAAAACTGAAGAAAAAAAAGGCAGCTCCAATGTTCTCAAAAAAATAGGCAACTCCCAAAACGCCCCCAAAAAGTAACTAAGTGCAAGCAAAGTATGAAAAGAACTGCATTTGTTAGTACCATATTATGTAGCAGAGAGGAAGAAACAGTGTGACCCTCAGATGGATACAATGTCTGCAGACCATGTGAGTCTCTCTCTAAAAGAACAAAAAAACTGTACCTGTATGAAGCTGCAGGGATTCTCACCGTGATACGTTGTTACTCTGGCAAGCGGGTCCCCAGTTGGTTATTTCCAAAAGTTAGGATGCCGGGTAAAATCCGGAGCTCTTTAAGTATGGCTGTGCGTTCTCTTGGCCAGCAAAACAGCAAAGCCCCTACAGAGAAGTCTAAGAGAAGAGACTCCCCCCTTCCTTGGGGCCTCTTTCAGAGATAGTAGTGTTTGCTTTTAACCCATTAAATCTCAGTTTATGCCTCTTTCATTCACTAGCTCATATATCAATGAGGAACACCTTTGTATAAATATTGATGTATTTGTAAATATTGTTACATTTTTATAGGAATAGCCATACATGTATTTTTGTATTTTTTTTTCTTCTTTCCTTTATTACTTTTATTTTGATCCTTTTTAATGTTTTTTTTTTTTTTTTTTTTTTATGGATATTATATGTAACAATTAAATCAGCAACATACAGTACAATATACTGTACACGAGCACTGAAAAAGTTAAACAGGCTACAATATAACAGAGGATTTAAATTAGAATAATATTTCATTCACGCCTTTGCCTTGAAGAGGAACTCCAGTTGCTTTAAAAAATATTAACCCTTGCTTCCCCCCTCCTTCCCACACTGCAAGGGTTAAGTACTTTTTTTGGTCTAGGGGCCGGAATACAGAAGATATACTCACCTGGTCCTCCGTTCTGCAGCATTCAGTACTCACCTCTCTCCCCCTCTAATGTCTAATGCAGGTGATTGGACCTGCATTAGACCTGCATTAGATGTGATAACGTCAGCGGGGCTTAGACTAGGGGAGGAAAGGCTGTGGAGACTGGTAGCAGCCAGGCAGGATTGGGTATCAGGTGAGTATATTTTTATTTGAGACATTCGAAACTTCACCTTTTAATATCCTAAAAAGCATTGCTAGATTTGGTTTCACTCCTGAAGTCTGCTTTGGTAGCTTCTTCCATAAAAGCATTCTCGAATACCTGTTGGATGGACCTCCAGAAGTCTTTCTTGAATGTTCGACCCACAAAGGCATAAAGAATAGGATTAATGCAGCTATTTATGTATGTAAGGCTTTTAGTCAAAGAATATCCAATGTTTACCACCCGTTTTATGTGTTTATCATTAGTATACATGTTAGACAGGGACAGGAGGACAAAAACCTGATAAGGGAACCAGCATACAAAGAAGGAAACAATGACAGCTATAATGATCTTCAAAGGCTTGGTGGCTTTAACAATTAGTTTTTTCTGGATATGCAAAGCAGTCACTACATAACACAAGACAATGATGGTGAAAGGAATAAGGAAACCGAGGATGAACCTTGTGATAAATAGGGCACTTCCTCTTGACACAGTAATGGCAGACCTTGAATTATCTCCATCAAACTTGTAATCGCAATGTATTGTCTTATTATCAATACTCAGAGTATCTCGAAATATAAAGTAAGGTGAACTGAATAAAAAAGCTAGGATCCATACAGCCACGACAACAAAGGATGCCAATCTTGGAGTTCGGTGGTTCTTAAACCACATCGGAAAAATAACAGAGATGCAGCGTTCAATACCGATAATGGTGAGCTGTAGAACACTAACAAACAAGTTGAGGTTAAAAAGAGTAGCGTTTAACTTGCACATGTACCTCCCAAATGTCCAGTGGCGGTTGAGGGCTGTGGTAGCAATGGTAAAAGGCAGGAACAGGGTGAACAAGAAATCATTCACAGCTAAATTCAAGAGCCATACAACAATGACTGTCTTCTTCATCTTTAGGGTCGTGCACCAGATCACCAGTCCATTTCCTGATGTCCCAAGGAGAAAGGTCACAGAGAAAATGATTATGGAAAAAGTACATATAACCTTGTGCTCTTGTGATCCATAACTGTTCGGTTCCAGGGTGGCATTCTCCAATACATGTGGACAATTAGCGGTGCTTCCCATTTTTCTTAAAGAGATGTTAAAAAGGATCAGATGATACAAAGCAGTTCTAAAAGGAAATGTATAAAACAATGCATGAGATTCAACAACTTACTTCAGAGGGCAAAATGAAATAATTATTCCTTTTACTATATATATATATATGTATATATATATATACACAATTACACATAATATACTGTTTGACCAGTGAGTGTATTGCACATGTAATATGTGGCAGGGTGAGTGGTGGTACATTCAGTCAAGAGACCTTGGCGTTTATATATACAGAATTTCCTCAGCGATCGTAACATACACGGGTACAGGTACCATTAAAAACAATATCACACGGGGACTCGTACACATGCACACACATGCAGGATCACATACATACACACAATAGGTTGAACTTGATGAACCTGTGTTTTTATTCAACCTCAAATACTATGTAACTATGTAAAACAATTCAGATGACTAAAATAAGACTAAAACTAAATGGCATTTTAGTCAAAAGACTAGTTTACTAATTTGTATTGAATGGAGGCAAAATGTTCACATTGTGCACATATATACACCTTAAAATGTAATAAAATAACCCAACTGTGTTACAACGTATCTTGTACTCTTAACAAACCTAGGCTACATTATTGTAATATCCTAATTTCCTACCTCCTTCTATCCTTCTGTAGGTGCCTGCTATTAAGTCTCATTGACTGTTTAATGATATTAATATCTGGACGGGTTTGTTTTATACACTGCCAGGACAATGCTAGCCCAGCTTTACAAATTTGAATGTAACAGACCTTTAATGGGAACATTTGTAAATGTCAAACAGTTACTTACTGTAAATCTTGATTGATTTTATCCCTTCTTTCTATTGGTATCAACTTGTCTCTGTATGAAGTGCAAAAATATGTATGTATAGGTACAGACCAGTGATGTGATGAAGGCAAATGTAAAAATATTCTCAGGAAGTAAGATAACATCACACGGTTTCTCTGCAGACTGATAAGATCATGACCATTTTATGTTGAAGTGACACACTACAGAAAAACTCTACTTTGCCTTATATGTTATAGAACTTGCTTTCTCACCTACCAAAAGTTTCTGTCCAGCCAGATTTGTCATCCTGACACTCCTGCCAGATGGCAAGAGGTAAAGACCTCGCTTTTTTTCAGTTCAATAATACAGCAAGGCTCAGGACCTTTTTTTCCTTTACCAACAAATGTAATGGGATCCAGAGGAAATCTCTTTGCTTTCATACATTCTGTTGGCATTTTCAGTGTGCTGACAGGCTCAGCATGCTGCCATTTATGGTCCAAGTGCAAGAGAATTGCATGCAGGGAAAATATATACTTTGTATCATTGTCTTCCTTATATTGTAAAGCGCTGTGCAAACTGTTGGCACTATATAAATCCTATATAATAATAATAATAAATCCAATAGTGAAACTACCTGCCCCCCCCAAAAAAGTCACCACCTGACAAATAAATAAAAGCCTTTCAATGGATAAGAGGTCTAGGTTCAGCAACATTATGTGCCCAATAATGAGGTCAGCTGACGACCTGAATATACTGAATGACCAGGTTTTTCCATCAATGGATTTTTTCTTCTCTGATGGCACATTGCACATATTCCAAGATGACAATGTCAGGGGGACCAGTGTACATGGTAAGAAAATCAGCAAATAATGAAGGAAATGATGACAGAAACAATAACTTTGAAAGGTTTGGTAAATGCCGCTCTGAATATAACATAATGAATATAAGGGCATAACACTTATGATTTGTGGATTGACCAATCTACAAAATAAATCACAAATTCATCGTTTACATATAAATGTGTATTATGAAGGAAGATACATTGAGTAGAAGGGGTAAAATCCAAATATGCTTCGGACACTGTAAGAGAGATTGAGATCTAATGCAAGATGGCACATGAAGGTTCCAAAAGTCTAGTAGTACACAACGGATCTGTAAGTGACAGTCAAGGGCAGGAAAAGACAAAATCAGCAACAGCTGAACTTAAAATCCAAACAGAGTTAGTTGACCATCTTCTTCATCTTGAATGCAACAAAACAAAGGACCAGACCATTTCCAGTAGAATTATTCCTGATAATACCACCAGTTATGACATTTCAAGTACTGTAACAAGAGCGTTAAACAATTTGTGCAACTTTTCTCTCTGGTGTTGGTCTCCATATTCCCAGATATGTCATTTCTCAGATATGATGTCCTGCAAAGTGGAAGCCAATACATGTAAATGTGTTTTAAACAGTATGTACAAAAGCGATAATAACATTTCAGACCTTGTGCAAGAGCACTGTTAAGGAAGTGACAACTAACTGGATGTTTGCCTTTTTTCTCATATCTGCAATAGGGATGCACAGATACTTTTCGAGTACCAGTGCCGATACTTGGCATTTTCATGAGAACTACCAGGGTTGCAGCGGTGCTGGGACCCGGCTCTGGCACTCAACCACTGTGCTGAAATCATTAGTCTGTATTGTTTTAGAAAAACTGTCACATGACAATAAACAAAAATGTATCAGTACTCGTACTTGTAAGTACTCGGCAAGTACCAGTACTCGTACTCACAAAACTGGTATCTGTGCATCCCTTTATTAATATTTATAAAAACAAAATCGTACATTAAAACAGAGATGTACAAATCACAGGAGCTTCGTGTGCTCCTTACAAATGACAGCTGCCTCATTTTTTTTGAATTTTTCTCTAGTCTAGTCTTGGAGCTCAAAAGTATGGGTACATGTACTCGTAGTTGTACCGAGTACTGTACTTGGTATCTGTGCAACCCTAATCTGCAATGCTAGTGTCTTGCTGCTTCCAAGTATTAAGAAATCAGTATTTGACTCAATCTAACAGAATCCGACTAAACAGAAAATATCATTTTTGGGAGAACAGACCTCCCACAAATAAAGTGGCTATGTCACGTTAACCACTTGGGTCCCTGGGCCATTTTATCCCTAAACCCCCTTGCGTTTCCAAACCTTTTTTTTTTGTTTGTTTGTTTTGGGTTTTTTGGCAATATCTTGGTTCTGCATTGAATATCTTTTAGAGTTTTTAGAGTTTACCCCAACAAATGGGGTAAAACGGATAAGAATGCATTATTCCTCACATTTTTCTCAACACAACTTTTACATAATTTGTGCACCCCCATATATTTACTCAAAAAGATAATATACAAAGTCAGCTAATTAAAATGGCATCACGTTAGTGGAACTTTTATGTGATGTAGCAAAATAGTAAGCAGGGAGCTTTGGGAGAGCTATAGCTCCCTTTTTCGATGCAACATTGTGATATGCATGCAAAGGGGAAAAATGGAATATATATTTTTATTTTTATTTATTGTATTTTTTTGAAAATGTATTTATTTATTTTCTTTATTTCTCTATTTTGTACTATTTTTTTAAAACTTTTTTTTCCCTGGGAGATCTGGGTCTGGTCAGTGGATCTGATCCAGAATCCCCATGCACTCAATTGATCTATTCTATCACAGTGTTCTATCTATTGAACTAAAATAGTGATCTATTGCTGACTGCAATCAGCCAGCAACAGATCACTATAGCAGTAATCTACTTCTGTAGGGGGAATTTGGACATTTCATCTCCTGGGGTAATTGCAGGACCTTGACTGTCATTGCAACTGGTGGTTCCAGCACTAGTACCCAGATGGAGTAAGGGGCCATCAGAATCACACATTTCACTTTCTAGGACTTTAGCTTTTTCTGCAAAGCTGTTTGTTTTACTAAAATAAAATTGAGTGCTGTTTATGGCTATACTTATAAAACATAAAATATAATATGAACTGTGAAATTATCATCTAATAAAGAGTTGTTTGTTCTTACAATAAAGTGAACCATCAAAGAAAACCTCTCAAGTGTAATGTTACATTTGAATCAAATCTGAGCTTTGAATATAATCTAACATCAGTTAAAGTGTATCTGAAATTAAATTCTTAGATTTGGATAGTGTGTGTGTATCTCTAGTTGTCCCAGTGTCCATTGCCCTGAGAGACAGAGAGAAGAAGCGTGGTCAGATGAGCCAAGGGTCACACTGGTCGGGCAGAGAAGTACAATGGCAGAAGACAGAGGTTGTATCCAGGAACAGGCAGAGGTCAGGGGAAGGCAGCAATCAGGCAAAGTCAAAGGCAATCCGGCTCAATACACAGGGAGCAAGGAAACAGTAGAGTAACAGGAATACAAGTACTAGCTGAAAGACTGTTCAGCAACTGAAGGGCAGACTGGTTTATATAGGCCCATCTACGAGGTGAAGCTCGTCACATCCTGTGCGCCAGCCATCAGCGCATCTTTGCGCGTAAGCTACGTTGCATGCACCTGCGCACTAGCTTGTTTTTTCAAAAAATGTTGAAGACGAGACCACGCTGATGTGCAGTAGCACATGTGTGGCCAGCCATAGTATTACAGGTATTCTGACAGTGTCCGACGGCTGTTGTCAGGATGTAAAGGAAACAGTGGAGGATTCCTCGATCAAGCGTTGATGGAGTACTCTGTTCTATTTTTTTCATTCAGCCCATTGGTTGAACGAAAAAAAAAAATAGAACCATGTATACCTGGCTTGAGGGGATATTTCCCCTCGCTTTGGAGATCCTTCCTCTCACCTTCTCTTGAGTCTCCAGGAAGGGTGGGGAAATCTCCCTAGTACTATTTTTGACCATTTCCGACTCTATCCAAAACTACCAAAAAAAAGGTTTGCAGACTTTGCAGATTTAGAAAAACCAAAATACATAAGATAACATTATCAGATGTACAAATATTTTATAGGCAGAATATTTTTTTTTAAAAACGTATGAAACGTATAAAAAGTATACAACATTTGAAATTGTAGTTGAATAGGTGGAATCATAAAAAAATATTGCTTGACCTGTGCCTTTTTGGAAATTTTAACATACCAACAGTTTGTCAATCTTTCCACAGCTATAAGTTTTTCAATTACTCCTTTGAATGGTTACATAAATATCACAGTTTTTTCTAAAAAAAAAATAAG